CAACGATATAATTTTCGTTGTTTATTGACAAACTTTATAATTCACTTATTTTTGGGTCCTTCTCAGTAATTAATTAATTATCAATTAATTAATTCTGATGGGCCTATTTTCGGGGCGTTACATATTCTCATATCTATTGGTTTATTTTGTATCTTTTGGAGAGTATATTTTTGTTCTAGACCGGCTAAGTTTTGTTCTTCATCCTTATGATTAAGCCGCTGTGTAGAACCAAGTTTCATGTTCTCAAACACACTTTTTTTACGGTCGGGGATAGCCGTTAAATTCTCAAATTGTAACGGTTAAGCAAAGTCGTGAAATCTTTGTTATAAGTGGTTTGAGGTAGCCATTGTAAAATCTCGGAGTGAATTCTATTGGCAAGAATTGTTTATCGAACTAGTACGGTGCTTTGACAATTAGGTTACATCACGTGTTACGGAACTATCCACTTTACTGCTCATGGACAACAACTATTTGTGAATCTGATAGAACTGCCATACTAAGAGTTTGATATTATCCTTGGTATTAACTGGATGACAGGACATCAGGGATAATCAACTGTGGACTATGCACTGTTCGGTTGAAAGTCGACGAGTTACATTGATACAAAATGTTAGTATAATCGCAAAATTCGCACTGACATTTCGTATCAATGTAAGTCGTTAATCTCACACTTACATTGATACAAAATATAAGTGTTGAGATACATTTTTGGGTACATGATACAATCTATGTATAGATTTATTTACTCCATCTGTTCTAAAAAAGGTTCCTAGTTTGACCAAGTGTAAAAATAAGGGAGTGTTAAATTGTAGTTGACTTCCAACTTTTTCTTTGATGTGATGAATAGATTATTAGAGAAAAGGTATGTTGTAATAGGTATGGTAAGAAAAAGTACAGGTAATATTGGTTTTTTAAAATTGGAGTAGAAAATTAAAGTATTTTGTTAAAAGTGAAATAAATAAAAGAGAAAGTGTTTTTAAGAATGGAAGAAGTACAAGATAACACTCGAAATTGTCATGGCCTAACATAATTACATAAATAAGGTGAGAACCACATTATCTCTACATACACCGCTCTATATATATGTCCGGTCCACAAGAAGTACTCCGTAAATAAACTAAGGCAACAACAAGAATCATAGGACGGTCATGATTTATATGCATTCATCATTAATAACTTTTATTTATAATAAAGGGTACTTTCTTTAAATTATATACAAAGGGGGGCCGGGGGAATTACTCTTAGCTTTGAACAGGCAAAATCTGCATTACTTGTTTCTTTATTGGGCTAGTTTGACTCGATTTGGGAGTTCCTTCACCTTCATTGCATGATGTACCTTTGAGCTTGTATATGCTTGCTTTCTTTTATAAATTCCCTCCTCACACACACACACACATATATATATATGCTGCCAATAATATCCTTTCACTCTCACTCACTCTCTCATCTCTGTCTTGTTCGTTGGTGTTAGCGTCGAAAGAATCAATGAGACAGTCGGCTACCAATATGGTGTTCCCAATGGTATTCCTCAAGCTAGCCCAGTGGCTCCTCTACCAAGTCCTGGCTAAGTCTTGCTACAAGACCGCCACGACCCTCATCAAAAAATCCACTTTCTTCTTCTTCTTCTTCACGAACCCATCTTCTAAACCACTACATAACATTAGTACTAGTAGCAATAATAATAATAATAACCTCCCTCATGTCACAAAATACAACCCACACCACCCCGAGAGGAAAAACCAAACATTGGTTTGCGACATGCAGGGCGGTCTGCTCCCCGCGGCGGGATCCTCGGCCCACTCCTTCTTCCCATACTTCATGCTGGTGGCGTTTGAAGGCGGCAGCATTTTCCGGGCGTTTTTACTGCTCCTCTGTTTCCCATTCGTGTGGCTTTTGGACTCGGTCAACCTCGGGCTGAGGGCAATGATCTTCGTCACGTTCTTTGGGCTCAGGAAGGCCCAAATGGACTGCGTAGGGAGAGCGGTGCTCCCCAAGTTCTACCTTGAAAACCTCGACCCCGACGTTTACGACGCCCTGACTTCGGCCGGGACTAGGGTCGTCATCACGGGCGTTCCCAGGGTGATGGTTGAAGGGTTTCTGAAGGAGTATCTCGGGGTTGATGTTGTCAAGGGCACTGAGTTGCACACACTGGGAGGTTTCTTCACCGGTTTGGTGCTTGGTTCTGGGCCTCTTGTGAAACACAGGGCTCTGAAACAAGTCTTTGGGGAGAAGATGCCTGACATTGGAGTTGCCACTTCCGGCATCCATGACCGCCTCTTTCTCTCGCTCTGTAAGGTACGCTTCGCCTCACTTCACAATTACCCTTTCTTCCACTTAATAATTTACTCCATATTATTGAGCATTGCTATTTTTCTCCTTTTCTCATATTCATGTTTTCATTTTGATTTTTCTAGTCAATAGCTTTAAAGATTTGACCACAGAGTGCAAAAGTATATATAGAGTGAATTGTGGTATATACTCCGATTTAATATCAATAATTTATCTTGAAACGTAATTTTGAAATGTTGATTTGCCCAAAAAAAAAATATATTCACATTTTGATTTTACTCAGTCAATTTTTTACACATTTTGACTACTTTGACCATTAATAAATACTCCCTATGAATTTATATACTCCAATATTATATTAAATTTACATTATCACTAGTTAAACCATTTTTCCCAATTTATATTCAAATTATAAATAATTGACGAAAAGAATTGAAATTTAGAAGAAAAAAAATTCGGACAAGGGAGTATAATAGTTGAATACAGAGTAATACTACATCAGTCCCAAAAAAAATCTTTTAAAATACTTCATTCGTTTCCGAAAATACTTCCTCTTTTATTTTTTCTACTTCCAACTAAACATTTTCACTTTCTATTAAAATATCACTTTTACTCTTATCTTTTTCATACTCTATCTATCAAATCATACTTCTTCTCTAATAATGTATCCATCACATCTTACTTTTATACATCACATTAAAGACAAATTGAGAGACACTTACAATTAACACTTTTATAATTTTACGTTTGGTCAAAATTGAAACTTTTTTTAAAACGGACAGAATATATATTTATATAATGCTTGGTATATAAACTAAGTATGCATTTTAATATAGAAAAATAATATTAACACATCACTTTTTACTATTTGTATTCCAAAATATACTATATGTAATACATTTTGGAGGCCAATATAAAAAATGACTGAGTGGCATGCAAATATTTTCCTTTCGTTTATACATAGAGGAGAACATATCAACATAGTCCCCCGGTTCAGAACCGATGGAACCGGCCATTTCAATGAAGTACGTTAACCGATGGGCCATGGAATTCAAAAATAAAGCAGGAATGATTGCTGACAGAATTTGGATAACACTTGCATTGCATGTATGACTCGTGGGACTCATTTCTTTTTTCCCTTCTAAAAAACAAAAAGAATGTTTGAGCTCGAAATTAATGTGTCTTTAACACTACAGTGCACTCCTACTCTACCAACTTATTTCGCCTTTTTCTATATGCTTGGTACAATAGTTCTATTTTTTAATAATTACTTATTCTTAATATTTTTTTCTTTAAATTTAACAAAAATTATGTAGCATACTCTCCAGTGGCTGGTTCAGGATTTGAAGCGACTAGAGGCAAGAGTAGTACAAAAGTTCGAGGGCAGCTCCCCCATTTTTTTAAAATCAAATTAAATTATAAAAAAATAATTTTTTAAATAAAACATTTAAATGATTAATGAAAAATCTCAAAAGTACTCTCTATAATTTTATTTTCTCATGAATTTTTTATTTCCAAATTATCTTTTAGTTAATATTATACGGAGTAGTCTAATTTTCATTTTGTAATTCTTTTATTTTAAGTTTAAATAATTTGTTCGTTTAAAAAAAAAGTTTAAATAATTCATTTTTCTATTTGAACATTCTTTTCATTGGGGGCAAATAATTTTTTCATTGGGGGCAATATTAATTTTTAGGGAAATCTTAATGTATTAATTAAATTAAAACAAAATTTCATGGAGGGCAAGTGATCCCATTAGTTGTAGAGTGGATCCGCCCATGATACTCTCTGTATCCAAAAATTATCCTCACATTGCACTTCCGTAACCGCCATCACAAGCAGAATATCACGCCCTCGTCATGCACGGTGGTCGTGTAGTGACTGAGCGTGATAATCTAGTGTCAATATTTTTATCTAGTTCTGAATTTAATCATATGTGTAAGTAATTCATGATTATTTTATTTTACTTTTTTTAGTGGTTTTTAGGAGGTTTGATATGATGAGCCGTTGGCATTTATAATTTTTTTTCTACTAGTATCGTTTAATGTCAAAAATTGAAGCAATAATCCAATATCTTGAGCTCAAAATATCACCTGTCTATGCATATTGCTAATTCAAAATGCATTTATCATGCCCCAAGAATCGTTGCTTTTGGGTCAAAACACAAACAAAACATGCATAGATTTATGCTGTAGAATAACATGGCGTTGGTGAAACACCTCACGATATTTCATGCTGTTTTGTTTTCTTAATTATTTTCACATATTTGACCACACGATATAAAATTTTAACTTTCGTGTGTGGGTGAGAAATAAAATCATAATTGTCATGACCTAACATAATAAAAAAGGCTGAGAACCACATTATCTTTATTTACATATGTCCGATCCACAAGAAGTAAATGAGTACTCCCTCCGTCCTTAAATATTTGCCACATTTGTATTCCTGAGGTAAAATATCAAGTTTTTTAAATTCATTTTATTTACATATTAGTATAGAAATAAAAAATAAAATTTACATATCAAAAAACTACATGAAAAGTTTTTCGAAATAAGAGGCGTCAAGAATATTTTATTTTATCAAATAACCAATGAAAATGTAGAAGTAAACAAAAGTTCCCGCGACTGCTGAAAAAACAAATGTTGTGAATATTTTGGGACGGAGGGAGTAATAAAGTAACACGAGACAAAGAATCATAGGATGGTCATGATCTATATGCATCTCGGTAAATATTTTTCTAACTGCTCGCAGTAATAAAGTGAAACTAAACTCGTCAATAATGGATGACTGCAGGAAGCATACGTGGTAAACGACAGAGGAAACAAGAACAGGAGTAGGGACCCACCATTATTCCCAAGGGAGAAGTACCCAAAGCCACTGATATTCCATGATGGGCGGCTAGCATTCCTTCCCACTCCCCTCTCTGCCCTGGCCATGTTCATCTGGCTGCCCGTGGGACTTCTCCTGGCAATCTTCAGAATATTCATAGGCACATGCTTGCCCTACAAGGCGGCCATGTTCTTGGGCAGCCTGACCGGGATGGAGATCCGTGTGGAGGGCAGCGATCCTCCGAGGCCCGAGAACGGGAAAGGGGTCCTCTACGTTTGCACCCACCGGACTCTCCTTGACCCGGTCTTTCTAAGTACCGTTCTTGCCAAGCCCTTGACCGCGGTCACCTACAGCCTGAGCAAAATGTCCGAGATACTGGCACCGATAAGGACCGTTAGGCTGAAAAGGGACCGAAAGGAGGACGGAGCGACGATGGAGAGAATGCTACGGGAAGGGGATTTGGTGGTTTGCCCAGAGGGGACCACTTGCAGGGAGCCATACCTGCTGAGGTTTAGCTCCCTGTTTGCAGAGCTGGCTGATGAGATTGTGCCAGTGGCTATGGACACAAGTGTGGGCATGTTCTATGGGACCACTGCAAGTGGGCTCAAGTGCTTGGACCCACTCTTCTTCTTGATGAACCCAAGGCCCACATACAGGGTCCACATCCTAGGGAAAGTGCCCAAAGAGATGACATGTGGTGGGGGTGGTGGTAAGTCTAGCTTTGAGGTGGCTAACTACATACAGAGACAGCTGGCTGATGCTTTGGGGTTTGAGTGCACCACTCTTACAAGAAGAGACAAGTATTTGATGTTGGCTGGGAATGATGGGATTGTTGAGAATCACTAGCTAGCTATTTAACTAGTAGCACAAAACTTAACTAATCTGTATTGTTACTTTCAACAATATAATGCCTTCCTTATCTTGTGAAAGCCAAGTCTTGATTGCGATTCAATTCAAATCAAAACTATAAATCCTTGTTTGTAAAAAACCTTCCAAAAAAAGTAATCCGTACTTTAAAGACTTCACAAATCATACATAATTTTATACGAAAAACACATGCAAAATCTATGTGATCCACCTCACTCGCTCTCGAGATCAAGCGGGACATCATTTCCGTTTAAAGGTCGAACACAAATATTATTGCCTTTTCAATGTGGGGCATTGGTAATGCCAAAAACACCCATATGATTCACTATTTATGTTGGGGCATTGTTGGTATCTAATAACACCCTTCATGTTGTCAATTGTCATTGTCATAAGTATCTAAGATAACCTGAAGGCTTTTTGTTTTCTTTTGAAACAACATATCTGATTGTATGTTTTGTTTCTTGATTCAAAACACATCATTGATTAGCTTTATTACTTGGTTCATTTAAATCAACTTCAGATTTGAGTCTTAAATAGATCACAAAAAAACAACCATAACAGATTAGTTGTTTTAAACATTACTCCGTATTTGACATGTTTAACTACTAGACTAGTGTTGGAGTTACCACGTCGGAAAAAGTAATGAGATACCCGTGAAGTTCTACCGATCAACTTAACCTTTTAGGTTAGAAACTAGATCCTAACTTTATATACAAGTGGATAATTTCATCCAGCACTGCACATTATTCTCGGCATCGTGAAATTTTAACATGGTATCAAAGCAAATCCGGTCCGGATTTGATTTTCCCCGATTGCTTGGCCGTTGGTTTAGCGATATGAGCTACTAGCCCTAGTTTGGGTTGAGTTGGCTCTAAAAGATTGAGATGTCACCGCTCATTGTGTGGGCTAACTATAAGAGATTGAAATGCTAGACCTATTTATCCAAATACTAACTAGGCTAGGCTAGTTAGGAAGTGTTAGAATTCACACAACAAAAAAAGTAATAGTATCACTATTCCTTGTCAATTTAAGTTTTTGGGTTAAAAACTAGTGCCCGAAATTTTAACTAGCAAATCAAAAATCTCTAACTCAAATTAAGCAAAAAAAAAAAAATTGTCTATACTCCCAAGCTCTAAAGTTGAACAAGAAAGTCAATAACTTCCCTATTAAAAAATCCTAAATTCGCGTTAATCGATTGAAAATACATACCGGCAACTTCGCAGGAAAATAGGAAGGAAGAGGCGACTCAGGCGATGGAATAATGGATGCTCCGATGATCGGCTGCCGCCTGCCGTTAGGCGCTGGTCTGAAGGACGACGGATGACGGTCGATATCGGATGCGTCGACGGTGGCCTGATGGGATTGTCGATTGGTGAGAAGCGGTACTGCAAGCCTGCAATAATCTTCTTTTGATAACGTGCGGGCCCTCGGGATGGGTTTCATCAAGTAAATAGTGAAAAAAACAAATATCATAGAGCCGGCCCGGGAGGGGCAATTTGCTCCTCTGGCCTAGGCCCAGTATTTTCCGGAGTATATATTGAAAGAATTGGATCTTTTAATAAATTCGGTCTGGGCCGGATCTTTGATAATGACTTTTGGAAACTTAAACCTAAGTATTCAAGTTATCAAAAGATTAAAAAGTCAAAAATTCAGTTCTGGGTATGTTTTTTTGAATCAGTTGTATAGAAGCAACCGATTCAAAAAACCCTTTCCAGAACTAGAGCTATTTTTTGTTAGAACTTTTTGAATCGGTTCATTTTAAACAATCGATTCAAAAGTTTTTTTTTACAGCAGACCAGAAAAAACAGTTCCGCAGCAGAACAGAAAATGCCAAAACAGATTTTTCGCAAAACAGAACAGGCCAAAAGAGACTCATAAGATATTCACCAAACCAAAATAATAAAATATTTAACAAACAACTCACATTATAGCACCATAACTAAATAACTAAAGTATATATTCATTTTCACAAAGAAGTTATACAACCAAATACAAATATATAAACTCAAATCAATTCATCAAGGAAACCCCGCGCAAAATTTTCTAACTTCTTCCAATTCGGCAACCGTGTACGACGAAGTAGAATGAAAAACCTACAATATGAACGAAAACATACAACAATAAATTTCAATAATTTATAATAAATACTTTAGTTACATGAACACACTAAAATGAACTTACATCACATAACGGTATGGAACACTCAGCACACCAAGTGACGATGAGCCATACAAATCACATAGCATAATATTTATACTCTATCTCCTTGGGTTGTTGTGGTACTTCAAGAACATCAATCCAATCTAGTCGAGCCTTAGCTTAAGCTGAGCATGTTCCTATCCCGAAGTAACCGCCAAGACCTTTATTCTAAATTTAAAAAAGAAATCAATAGGGAATAAAGTTTGTAAAAAATAAAGACTTTCATCAATATTATTAGTATAACTCATGTTAATAGTTACTCATTTACAAAAGTCTTCACTTTCATTTTCTTATGTCCTTTGGTCTTGGAAATTGAGTTAAAGAAATACACTTTGTTTTCAAACAAGCGTATTAGAACTAACACCCAATGATGCGTACAATTTAAAAAGTGTTAGCCATTAGCTTCGTAATCAATAATAGATACAAAAAACTTGAACACTTATTTAAAATAACTTTGAAAACATACGACCTAGGAAGATACAACGACATAAGTATCTAGGGTCGCGATTGATAGGTGTTGAGTGCTCTATCTAGATACTTGCAATCTTTATACTCTACAATGTACGCCATGCTCTCCGGACATAATAACCTAATAGTCGTGATGTCGTGCTCCATCATATATCTGTACCACAATCTAGTTATTTGAAAAGTAAGTAATAATTAGAATTTTAGTAAATAATTACAATGCACTACTACAAAAAGGACCAAATAAATCCTACATTTGGATCGGTTAGCAAAATAAACGATTTAAAAGAAAAAAAATTCGCGTACCGCTCCACATTTGAATCGGTTATTCCTAATAACCGATGCAAAAGAGTATTTGCATCGGTAATTAGGAATAACTGATTCAAATGTTAAAAACCTTTTGAATCGGTTATTCCTAATAACCGATGCAAATACTCTTTTGCATCGGTTATTAGGAATAACCGATTCAAAAGGGTGTATTATATTCACCCTCCAATATCTTATCCTTACGCGATTTTTAAAAAAAACCTCCAAACCCTCCTTCTTCGTCAAACAACCCTCCTTCTTCATCGTGTTGTGCTCCTTCTCCGTTGTGGTCCTTCGCCGCTGTTGCCTGTCCTCGCCGTCGCCCTCGAAGTTGCCAACTGCCTCCGTCGCCCTTTCCTTGACGTCGCCCTCTCCTCGCCGTTGCCAACTATCGTCGGCCCTACTGCCCCACCCCGTGCCCCGCCCCCCGTGCTAGCCTCGCCGCCGGCCCAGCTTCCTTGTCATTTTCCCTCGCCTTCTCTACCCCACGTCGTGCTTGCTCGCCTCCTTTAAGGTATTTTCTCTAATTTTTTTAACTTTAAATATTTAATTATAGTACTATTTGTTGATATATTTTTACATTAGGTTAATATTTAATTTATTATATATTTGAATTGCTTTTGTGTTTATGTTTAAGTTGAAATGTGAATTGTGATATAGATTGCGTTTGAAATATAGATTGTTTACTTACTTTTTGTTTGATTCTACATGATCTGATATGTTATAATATAGAAAAACATATATTGACCGACCTATATACCCGTTTAAAATTTACTCATTAGGAGTAAATTTTAAATAGCTCCTTGTTTGGAGCTGTTCTTGAAATGCTTCCCTCACTTAGGTAGTGAGTGTATTTCTTTCTCTTTGTTAAGTCATTTTTTGGTTTGACGTTTCCTAAATGTGTTATTCGGGTGCATATGTAATTACGTTACATCGTGCACTTGGAGAACCATTGGGAAATGCTACCGAAATTTTGATAGGTCAAAGAAAATGAAATACATTTACTGGTGAGGGTGGCATTTCAAGAATGGGTTAGGATGGTGTAAAGAAGGACCATTTGTATAATGAAGAAGTGTTGTCGGATTTTTGTTACATCATAAGAAATAAAATATTGTGTTGCCTGTATTTCTTATATGTTTGTGTGTATATATAAAATGAGTATTAATAATTTTGTTGTGCATTGTTTTGCATGTATCAATCATTTGCCCTTCTTTCTTGCTTAACAATTTATATGATGGATAGAAGTTGGATTCATATGTTGCGTACATCACCTGAGTTTAGTTCTGGTTTGGAAGAGTTTATTCGTTTCGCAGAGAAACATTCAAAAGAAGGAAAAAGATACATTGTCCTTGTAACTCATGTCACAACCATTTTATGGTTGATAGCGTAACAGATATAAGATTACATGTGTATCGCAAGGGTTTTGACCCAACATACCTGCGATGGAAACGGCATGGAGAGTTAGAAAATCCTTGCAGCTCTAGCTATACTCATAATGAACAAGTCGAGGATGATATTCACGACATCCACAATCTTGAGGTTGAAATGGAAGATGAGTTAGGGGCCACTCAAGATGTTCCTCCTGATAAAGTCGTCATTGATGAAGAGCGTGATATGTATGAGAGCTTAGTAGGAAGCTCAAAACGCCCGTTGTATCGTGGTTGTACAAATTTTACACGTTTGAAGGGGGTTTTTGGAATTGTTCAATTTAAAAGTAGCAAATGGGTGGAGTGACAAAAGTTTCACGTCTTGATTAAGTTTGTTGGGTGAACTTCTTCCAGATGGACATGAATTGCCATCGTCCACTTATGAGGCGAAGAAAATGATCTCTCCAATGGGTGAGGGCTACAAGTGTGTTAATGATTGCATTTTATATCGAAATGAGTTCGAGGATCTCAATGAATGTCCCAAGTGTTTTGCTCCAAGATACAAGGAGTCAACCAAAATGACTCATAAAAAGGAGAATATGAAAAAGACCAAAAAGACTCCGGTTAAGGTTTTGTGGTACCTTCCAATAATACCAAGGTTCAAGCGTTTGTTTGCTTCGATAAAGGACGCAGCGAAAAGATAATGACACTCTGTGTCATCCTGCCGATGCCCCACAATGGAAGACGATTGACTACACATTTATAGAGTTTGGGAACGAGGGGAGAAACCTTCAATTGGAATTGTGTACTGACGGTATCAATCCTTTTGGAAGCTTGAGTACGCAACATAGTACTTGGCCGGTACTGCTTGTCATTTACAATCTTCCATCGGAGTTGTGCATGAAGCGCAAGTACATCATGTTATCATTGTTAATACCTGGGCCTACACAATCGGGTAATGACATTGATGTATTCTTAGCCCCAATGATTGATGACTTGAAGGAAATGTGGATTCATGGTGTCGCAGATATTTTATGCTTATTGTCAAGAGTGTTTCACATTACATGCTATGATTCTTTGGACAATCAATGACTACCCAGCATACGGTAACCTATCTTGTTATAAGATTAAGGGAAAATATGCATGTTCGATATGTGAGGAGAACACTTCTAGTGTGTGGCTAAAGAATGAAAAAAAAGTCTTCCTAGGTCATCGTCGATTTTTAAGACGTCAACATCCTTACCGTCGCATGAGAAAAGCTTTCAATGGTCAAGCAGAAAATGAGGTTGCTCCGAAAGTATTGAGTGGCAAAGTATTGCATGAGAAGTTGAAGAACATAAACCATACATTTGGTAAGACACAGAAAGTTGATCCAAAAGGTCCTATTTGGAAAAAAGATCAATATTTTGGGAACTACCTTATTGGGAGTACTTATCTGTCACACATTGTCTTGCTGTGATGCATATAGAAAAAAATGTATGTGATAGTCTTATTGGCACCCTCCTAAATGTTCCTGACAAGACTAAAGATGGTGTTAATGCCAGAAAAGACTTAATAAACATGGGCATTCGAACTGAGCTTGGACCGCATGAAAAAGGACATCGCACATTTCTCCCTCCTGCTTGCTACACACTTTCTATAGAAGAAAAAATCACTCTTTGTCAATGTCTACGTGATATAAAGGTTCCACAAGGGTATGCTAGAAACATTAAGAGTCGTGTGTCGATGAAGGATTTGAAATTGAACTGTCTTAAATCTCACGATTTCCATGTTTTAATTCAGCATTTCTTGCCAGTGGGAATTAGATCAATATTGCCAACGAACGTGAGGGGGGCAATAACTAGACTTTGTTATTTTTTTAACGTCATTTGTAGCAAGGTCATTGATGCTGAAATGTTGGATTAGTTACAAGAGGAACTGGTAGTCACCTTATGTGAATTTGAGATGCTCTTTCCTCCATCATTTTTTGATATCATGGTCCATTTAGTTGTGCATTTGGTGAGAGAAGTTAAACTTTGTGGCCCTATTTTTCTTCGGTACATGTATCCATTAGAGATGTTTATTGGTATTTTGAAAAGATATGTGAGGAACCGGTATAGACCTGAGGGCTGTATTGTTGAAGGATATTTAGCAGAAGAGATTATTGAATTCTGTAGCGAGTATTTGGATTTGGAGTACACGGTTGGGGTACTGAAGTCTCGGCATGAAGGTAGAACTGAGGGGAAAGGAACAATAGGACATCACATCATCCATATTGACTCTTAAATGTGTTAGAATATAGGCACAATGCTAGAGGGGGGGGTGAATAGCGTTTAAAACAAAATCGCAGGAAATTAAAAACGAGAGCGTTAAAGTAAAGAGCGTCAGGAAGGAGCACACCGAATTTTATCCTGGTTCACCACAATGTGTGGCTAATCCAGCCTCCCGAGAGACTCTCTCGAGTTAGACTAACTCCGTTAAGCTTAAAGGTGCTCAACAAACCGATACAACTTGAGAACTCGAGTCACACGAGCCTCAACGCCTTTGCTCGGAGATACCACACTCCAAGACTTCTCACGAAGGAACAAGGACTTCCTTCGAATTTTACAACAAGGGAACAACCTCCCTTCAAGTGCAAAAACACTTAAACACTCAGGAATGAAACTCTCACAAAGAGTAGATATGAGTGAACTAGTAAACGCTCAAGAACACGACAATTTCTTCAAGAATTGGCTCTCAAATAGCTAAGAAAATATGAGAATGCTTTTGCAATGAAAGAGTATTGAAATATTTGAAGAATTGTGTGTAAAATGAGAGGATTTGGGTGCCATTTTATAGCTCAAAAATGGGATAAACTCATTGCAAAGTTTCCAACAGGATCAGGACAAAATTTTCAAAGACACAGAGCAATAGTCGATTGTCAAAGCTTGATAATCGAGTATCGAAAGATTCCGTGTCCAAAAATTTAAAATTCTATCCGTTGGAGGGCAACGGTAACACTGATAGTCGATTGTCTAGACCTGTCACTCGACTATCGGGCCTCTCAGAAGTTATTGGTTTGAAGTTGAACGCAGACAACCGAGTGACAATATATGTCAGTCGACTATTTGATGGTTCTGAACTTATGGTTCAGAAACTGCAGTGGCCAACATTTGAATGTTGCAAAGCGACAATCGATTATTAGCTTGTCAAAACCATCTTGCGAGAAACTTAACCCGAAATGCCGAGGTCCAAAAACGAAGTGTTCCCAAAAGTAAAAATCAAGTTTGAAAAACATTGTATATGGTATAAAATAGTGAAACCAAGACTTGTTTGATAAAAACCAAGTCTTCGAGGTTGTTTGTCACGTGTGTACGGTTTTGACCGTTTTTCACGTGTTAGACCGATTGACCAAGATACAAAAGTGGTTTTCACAAAATAATTATTTGGGAACCTTTTAAATATGCCCAGAGGTAAAAGCAAGATTTAAAAAATTGAAAACCACCAAGTTGGTTCGGACGCCAAAAACCGAACGCCAAACCCTGAATGCCGGACGCCGATGCCGAACGCCAAACGCCGACCGAGATGGTTTTTGATCTGGGCAAGGACCAGGGTTTTTAAAACATTAAAACTTTATTAAAAACGTTTATTTTGATGCACAAAAACATTTTATGATTTTGTAAAATTATTTTGACTCTTTGAGAATTGAGACTTGAATTGATTGTCGGTTAGAACACACTAAGACCGACTCGACTAAGTCTTCAATTCTTGATCTTTGTCCTTGAGTCTTTTGGTCTTGTTCCATGCCATTTTTCATGCCTTGAGTTGTTCAACGAAAACTCTTCATATCCACGACGGTTTGGCAATTATCAAAACTTGTCAGAAATGAACACGACTTTAGTTCAACGCAATAAAAGAGTGTGTTCCAACAATTTCCCCCTTTTTGATAATGACAAAAAAGACGGGGATATGCATAGGGTTTTGATCTTTTTTTTGAAAAAATTCCCCCTTAATAAATGCATAGCCCTTATCTTCCCCCTTTTGACATTAACAAAAAGATATAAAATCCATAAAGAATTTATTTTATTAATTTAAGGGAAAAGGCGGAGTACACAAAACAGAAGCAAATTTTAAAATGCATAAAAAATATGAAGAGAAAAGAGAAGAGCTAGAGCTCTAGAAATCCGGGGAGAGATCATCGAGGAGTTGGTCTTCGTCGATGTCTTCCTCTTCCTCTTCTTCTTCTTCTTCTTCTTCTTCTTCTTCTTCTTCTTCGGCTTCTTCTTCCTCTTCTTCTTCATCTTCAACGTTCTCCTCTTCTTCACCACCAACGTCATTTGTCTCGCTTGGTTCACCCCCGAAGTTTGGCGGAGGAACGTAAGGGACCATTTGAGCGTAAGGGTAGTTGACAAAGTCAAAATACCTGTGAAGCTCACAGTTCAAAATGTTGACGTTTTGGGCCGTTTGGGAGACGTTGGTGTCTATCCGAGAAAGGATGGCGGTCAAGGCGGCCATTTTCTCGGCTAGAGAAGGGTTGTTTGAACCTGTGGCCCTTGGTTGGCGGCGTGGACGAGGCTGTGGGAACGGAGATTCATCGGTTCCCGGGTGGAAGGAGGACTCATCAATCTCCCAGTGCTTTGTCCCTTTTTGCTTTGGCCCAACGTCGGTCATGACGTGGAATTCCTCAAGTATCGCCATGACTAGAAGGGCGTAGGGAAGAGGCCGATTGTCGGAGGTGGCGCTAAACATGTGAGTCATCACAAATTTACACCAATTAATGTTTTGTTGTGAATCATCGCATGGAGCGTCTTTGTGTCCTCTTGGGAGAGAGCGGTGTGATTGAACTTCCTTGGCTTGAGAATCCGTGTCAAAACATAAAAAATGAATCGAAACACGGGATTCATAGGAGTTATCGTCGGGCGCCGCTGTTGGGGAGTGGGGACGAAGTTTCGGATTCCCACTTCCTCCAAGAGGGCGGTCTCGTTGAACCGTGCCCCTCCTTCTCCAACGTAGAGACCGAGATCCTCTCCATTCCGTCGAAGCCGGGTGAGTATTTGAATGTTCTCTTCATTCAAATAGATATCCACTCCGTTGACATTCGAAATCAACGCTCCGTCCTCATCCTTTTTCAGATTCGAGTAGAAAGCTCCAACGAGAAAAGGTTGATAGTGAGCCTTTTTTATGTAGGATAACCTGTGCCTCGCGTGGAATGGAATCGTGACTGAAGCAGGCGGTGGAGAACCGGGGAGGTAGAATTTCCTGGTGCTCAAACTTCTCCGAGAACCGTGTCGCCTCTGCGCGGTCGTTGAACCAAAGGAACGACCCGTCGAGGTACTTGTGCGCCGGTGGTGGAGGAGGATCCGAGGAGGAAGTGACGTTCTTCCCGGTGCGAGATCGTTTTCTTTGACCTCCTACCATGTCAACAAGAGAGGTGGAGAGAAATAGGAAAAATGCAGGAGTTTGACAGCAAGAGTAAAGAATAATTGAAGAATTGATGAACTATGATGAATATATTGAGAAAAGATGATTGGAATGAGTAAGTCATGAGTAGAGATCACTAATTTATAGAGTTGGAGGACTAGAGATCCGTGGGAGAAGTCAAAAGGGTGATAAATGCACTCCAAACGGCTCTGAAACGGTCATATTTTTGAAAATCTTCCGTTGTGAGTCGATTTACACAGCCTGTAATTTGATTATCTAAAACCTCTGATTTTCCGCTGAAGGATCTGCGAACCCTGTTAGTCGATTGACATAAGGTTGCTAGTCGATTGGCGTTGGTTTGCCTCTGAAGTTTGAAAAGTTCATCGACCCCTGTTATTCGAATATAAGAATGGTGATACTCGATTGTCTCGATTCTTAGCTTAATTGCCCCAAACTTCTGCGGGCTGTGATAGTCGAGTATCACAAGTCTGTAACTCGATTTACACCTTGACTTTCTCTGTTCCCCCTGACTTTGACACCTATAATGAAAACATTTGGTACCCGTTTTTTTGGTCTTTTGGGTCATTGAGGATTAGTAAGATGACTTTTTAAACTAATAAACACACACACCCATAGCCACACACGCTAATGCGCACACACACACGTACGATATTCGTGTTTAAGTGTTACCTTGACTAACTTGTGGTCTTTCGGTTGGCGGGTTCCAGTCCACTTGAACCGAGTGCCTATACCTTGGTTGGATTTGTGTGGGTTCCGGAAGTGGTATGTGAATCTTCTTCTTTTCATCATAATAGAAGAAGTAATATGGTTTCTTTTGCGTTGATTGCTGCGGGGATTGCTTAGAACTCGAATATCCTTTTTCAAGGGATCTCGTTAGGTTATTCCTATGCAAAGTGTGTTGGAATGCATGAGTTCAACCCTTTCTGTGTTGTTTAGTGTTGACTCACAGGTTTTGATAATTGACAAACACAATTTATTCAAGTCAAGATTAAAGTGCTACAACTACAAATACGAAAACTTGAAGTGCCATTTCTTGAAGTATTCAAGAAAGTGCACAAGATTTTGTTGAAGTCCGAGACGCGTCCGGAGCGCCTAACGGAGGACTCGGAGGAGTAGAAGATTTCCGAAGACTTTTTATTTATTTGAGTCTTAGGAATTATTGTAAGGATTACAAAAATATCTCCTCTCCAAAATTATTTTTATGAGAGTCAAAATAAAAATTATATTTATTTTTGGAGTCAGTTGAAAATTGTTTTTAACTGTTCAAAATAGTTTTACTGAGTCAGTTACAAAAAGTGTGTCAAACATTTATCAAATATTTTAAAACTATAATATTTTATAAAAACCATTCGTTTTTATAAAATAAGTTTATAAAAAGCACATGTAGTAAACTGTGTGTTTTATTAAAAACCTGAGTGAAAATGAGGGAATAAGTTTAAGTAACTTATTCTCTCCTCCTCGCGAGGGACTAAGAAGATGTCTCAAACAACGAGTTTGAGCCAATTCGCTCTCAATCGCAACTGGCCTTGGGCCCTTTGTGTTTGTGCATTATTTCCTTATTAATCGATTAATCTTCCAAAATTAATCGATTAACTGCTTATCGTTGGATTACCCTGGGCTGGAACATTAATCGATTTTTGCTCCTCTGTTAATCGATTAAGGCTGGCAGAGCTGACTAATCGATTTTTTATCTTCCTTTAATCGATTATCCTTTTCCTCGCAGACTCCATTAATCGATTTTTGAAGATGCTTTAATCGATTTTTTTATGATGCATTAATCGATTATGGTGATGCATTAATCGATTAATGCGCTGCATCGTTTCTTGCACAGCTTCTTTTCCTGGACCAACGGATATATTTCTTCAACTCCTATTTAAACACACTTTCTTGGTCATTTTTAAGAACAAGAAAAACTCCAATACTCCCCATTCTTGAGGTGTTAATCCTCCATCAATCATTCCTCAAATTTATATTATTTTGAGAGAAAATTATATTTTAAAGAGAGTGTTCTTGTCATCCATAGAGCTTAATCTTTTCTCATTTCTACTCTTGTGAGAGTCATTGTTGTGAGGTTGAAGAAGATTGTTCTTCTTGTTGTTCAAGACTTATGTGACTTAAGTCTTGGTTGTGAAGTCTTGTAGAGGGCATATCTACGAGCGGTTGTTTCGAGGCTTGTGGGATTCAAGTTCTCGAGTTGTAAACGGTTTGTTAAGCACCCGTAAGCTTAACGGAAGTAGTGGTAGCTTCGAGAGAGTCTCTCGGGGAACTGGACTAGCCACGAGGTGGTGAACCAGTATACATCGGTGTGTTCTTTGCCTTCTCTCTTTTATTTCCGCTGCATTTACGTTTATTTTATTAATCCTGCGAAAATCGGCAAACATTCTCAACAACTCTATTCACCCCCCCTCTAGAGTTGCACACATTGTCTAACAAAGTGTGTGTTTTGTTATACGTGCAATGCATATGCTTACTAAAACATACGGGTGCTATATGTCCTACCCTATTGCAATAATGACAAAAAACATTTAGATTATGCATTCTCCTATGTTGATAATAGTTACTAGGTTTTCTATATTGATTGATCATAGTTTGAGAAAAGTTTTGTTTATGCATATTTATAAAGTTGTTTCTAGATTCTCTAACTTGACCATTGTTCATCCTAGTGTTCTTTCTAGGTGGTCTAGTGTTCCTAGTTGTTCTAGACTTCTAGGTTGTCTATTATTGCTTATTTTATTTTTCCTAAGTTGAGCTTTAGGTTGTTTAGGTGGTTGCTCAACTTTTTCCTTATTATTATTAGTTTCATTTTCAAACCCTAAGCCATGTTTAGTGACTTGCAAATTATCAAGAACATCATTACGATTTTTATGAGAAACACCAAACTTCTTCAAGGTTCCTTCAAGTTTTGCAACTTGTTGCTTAAGTGATGTACAAAAACTGCATTTGAAACTTTCCGGTTTGTCGGCGCTTCTTTTTCCAAAAAACTTGTTTTCTTCTTTAAACGTGGGTGTGTAAAGTGCATTTTGTTCTTCTTGATGATGATAGAAATTCAAATGGTTTCTCTTTTTGGTCTTTTGAACGAGGGCGTTCAAGTCTTAAGTGTGGGGGTATTTGATAAGTCGTTTTTGGGTTAGTTCTTTTTATTCTTTTTTAGGCATTTTAAATACTTTTAGCATTTAATTTTCAGTTTTTAAGCTTAATTTTATTTTTATTTTCATTTTTACATTCTTTTTATTTTTCATAAATAGTAGTTTTTTTTAATTATTTTTTTTACATTCTATTATTTTTATTTTTCCTAACTCAAGTTATCAGATATCTTATTATTTGGAGAAAAGTGCAGCAAAAGGCCAAATTAAAGTTCATGTTTGAAAAGAAGAGATTGAATTTGGGTCGGGACCCAAATCCAACACCAAATTAGTAAAAGCATCAAGTCAAAGGAGCCTAACCAAAGTTATTGTTGAAAAAGAAAAAATGCAGTGTTAATGTGAGTTCAAAATCACACCGACACAACAACAAAGCAGCAGCCAATTCAGCGTAACTTCTCCACCGAATTCGCTCCTCATTCAATCTCCAACGGAAGAATGCCAATGGGAAGAATCCTCTTGCTATAAATGGGAGAGGAATTGCAATCGGAAAAAAAGGGGGAAAAAGGAACGACAAAAGAGCGGCGGCTTAGGCCGCGGTGGCGGTGGTGGCGGCCGGCAGACGCGAACCGGCGGCGGCAAAAGCTCCGGAGAGCGGTGGGCAGTCTCCTCTAGCTCCAATTTCTTCATCTTCTTCATCTTCTTCAACATTTGGTAACCCTTATTTGTCAATTTCTTTTTCTTCTCCAATTTCTTTGTAAAAGTGTTGTCTCAATTTAATTTTTACATTTTTTCCTTGTTTGTGTTAATTGCGAAAATTCAAAAATGGTTGGTGTTTTTTTATGGATTTTTTTAATGTCTATATTAAATCCCTTATGAATGAGAATTGATTCGTACTAGTTTTCTTCAATTGTTGTTGAATTGGTTGAATCGCACGGTTTGATTTCATAAGTAGATTGGTATGTAGAATTCGGTTTTTGTTGAAGCTATTTTAGCTCCATATTATAGTTAAATGATTTCCGAATTCATACGTGATTCTTCGTTGTGCTATGTGTTTTGGAAAATTTTAAGGATTATGGACTTCTTAACCCCATGAGTTGGACGTTTTCCTTAAGATTCGTTATTGAGTGATTGTTATGTCATTCGTTTGTTTTGTATTGATTTTCATAAAATTTAAGGTTGTTTAAGCACAAAAACAATTTTTAAGTTTTTTTTAAAATATGTAATGTTCTTTTATGTGAATAGACTGAAATTCTTATGCTTGAGTTGTTCAAGGAGACCTGCAAAATATTTTCATCGTTAGATGTTAAAGTTTATTAAATTGTATCAAATGTTTTTCATTAATACTTTGTGCATGGGAGTTAGAATGAAAGAAAGATTCGCTTTTTTATAAACTTTTTCATCTTTTGGAATCATTGTTTGAGCGCTTGAGGTGAGTGGGAGTTCAAAGTGATCCAAAAGGCCTTTGAATTCTTGACTCCTAGCCTTATAGAGAGTTGACGATCTTCTATATGTGGTCAAGAATATGAAACAACTTGAGCCTTTGAATTATTTTCTATTCTTAAGTGCGTAAGTTACGTAATATATTGTCTACGTGCCTATTATATGTGTAATGTTCAATTTGTGTTTGTTCTCTTTTTCATTTTGTTTTGGGTTCTTGGCGGTGTTTATTGGGTTACCTTAGTTGGAGGAGTTGATTATCTTTTGAGCTTGTTACCCCCATTTTTATCAAAAAAACCAAAAAAATAAGAAAATATAAAAAACAAAAAAAATATTTACTTTTTATTCAACCCCCCTTTCCTTTTTGTTTTTATTTTTAAGTTATAGTATAAGCGTTTGTTTATAAGTTATAAATATAAGTTTTTTTAGTTTATTATTTTTTTAGTATATCTTAAATAAGTGTTTTGTTTTTATAAGTTATATTATAAGTTCTTTGTTTATAATAGTTAAATTTATTACTTTTTATATTTATTTAGTTATAAGTTTTATTAAAAGTTTTATAAGTCTTATCATATGTGTAGTAGTTAGTTTATTTTGTTTAGTGACAATGTGTGTGCATGCTAATTTGATTTCAAAAGTACAAACTTTTTCTGTGGGATCGACCCTTACTTGCCCTAGCTATAATTTTTATTTGATTATAGTTTAGGGGTTAGTTAAGGATATTTTATAAATTCTTAATTTGTTTTGGACCACACGACAAGTCCCCAATAGCCACGGTACTAGACGGGGTTCGGGTAGGTACCACTTTATTTATCCAAACCTGCTACCTTTAATTGTTACATGGTTCTATATATTGGCCGTCAAGACTATCGGCGACCTTTCAATCTAAGAACGAATCGACAACGAAATTTTTTCGGAAGAGATTGATTTGGGGAGGTTTAGGACTGGGGTGGAAAGAGGCGTAGCTCTCCACAACACTGGAAATCTACAAAGTACCAAAGAGCAGCCGTTTATCCCCATGACACATGGTGCAAAAGTCCTAATAAATCTCACTCATTCCAAATTCAAACCAAGTTTTTTACTCTTTTTCACTCTAGTTACAACAAGAATTTCTGTATTAGTGAAATTGGAAAGAGGAATTACAATATATGGTTTGATATACATGGGTTAAATTGGATTCTTGAACTCTTCCCCAAACTGAATCAGAGAAATTCATGTGCTATCACCTGATTTCAAAAGCATAGAAAGATTACCATTTATCATGGTGTTGATCAATTCTTAAACATAAAATATAAATTAGGGATTTAATCATGCGTACCTGATAATCCTGTAAACGTGGTTAGGGATGAGGCCATGATTCTCACGCAGATCGAGTTCCCGTTTAGGGTGTATCATTATGATGGCTAAGGTGAGGGCGAGACTCACGAGAATATAGAGGCAGAGAGGAGGCGTAAGACTGGTGTGTTCTGATCTCTGCCTAATGACCTCTATATATACACCCAAGGGGAAACCCTAATTAGGTCATAAGGGTAATTACGTCCATCGAATAATTACCAATTAAGTACGTAGGGTATTTATTAGGTCAATGATCAGTTAATTAGATAAATGATAACTCAGGCCACATAATAAAATCGTGTCTAACACATGGTTCTAGGTTATATTAGGATTCTTGAATCGAGAAGAGAAGGAAACACTTCCATATTTGTTCCTACGGGCAAAGGGGGTTTGGTGTGTTTTTTTGAGGCCATTGATGCTTTCATTGGCTCTATTCCAGTGGGGAACAAGTCTCTTCTTGTGGCTTTTCCTAATGCAATGCAGGTTCTAGATGTTTCTATCACTTCAGGGCAAGGTAAGAAATGCGGAGATGGCATTGGACCTCTACCTTTGGAAGAGGTGTTCTCCCCTCTGTTGGCAGGGGGCTTAAACAGTTCAGTAGACAAGGAAGATCATGGTACTTTCCTGCAGCAGGAAGATTCTCCATTTGTTGAGCCAGCTAGAAACTTACTCAGCCACGAAGAGCAGATGTTAATCGACGGGCTTCTCAACCAAACTATGAGGGTGGAAGCTTCAAATTGGAAGGACTCTATTCAACCGGAGCTTGATCTTATGTTAACAAATGACAATGTGGAAGAACAGGCAGGAGGAGACTTTCAGAAATAGTATTAGATGCTTAAGCCCATTTTCGAACAACATATTAGCGATGACTTTGAGAACTCCCTTTGGATGATCAAGGAAGAATTACCTTCGCCCTTCATCATGGATAAGATCCAAAAGGGGCTTGTTTCAACGCTTCAGGGTAAGGCTTTAAAAGAAACTAGGGAGGCTATGAAGAGTGCACAATGCATTAGAGCTATTAAGCTGAAAGGTACGCGACATCCAATTCTTCTAGCCTGCGCCAACATTGACGTACCGATCATTACGCCATTGTCTTAACATCTCATCGACTACGAGTGAAAGGGAGGTATACTTGGGTTTCTTACTCTATTGTTCACTACTGATTTTTTCTTGGGGACATAGAAAATTTTCCTGGGTTTGATACGGGACCAATGCACGTAGAGGCCCATGCAGGTGATACCGGCCCAACGCACACGGATGACGAACAGGACGGCCCAAGGGAAGTAACGCGACCGCGCAGAAACATACGTCGGCCGCAACGTTTCGATGATTATGTTTAGAAACCATTTAATTTAAATTCTTAATTCTTGTACTTTAGATTTTATTAGGTGGGCGGAATATAAGCCCCTTCAAGGGTTTTCTTTTCGGTTCTTTCCCTTGACGCTTTTGTTGAACCGACAGGGTTAGGGTTAGCATTAGGGTTTCTCGACTATATAAACCAAGGGACTTGTTATTTGAAGGATGTGAAGAAATAATACAATTTAGCTTAACAGTAATTCCTCTCTCTTCCATCTTTTCTTGTTCGGCCGTAACTCTTGTGCCAACCCAAAGTTGGTAGCTTAGGGTTACAAACTCCTTCCTAAATCAACCTTTATCAATTGGTGCTCTCGTTGTCGTTCTCATGACGACGCCTACGACGGATTCCCCAACTACACCGCCCTTGACCATGGAGGATCTTATGAAGGCCATCAACAACTTAAGCACGGAGCTACAAGCCACAAAGTTGCAGGTGTCGACCTTGACGGCATCGGGTTCGCACGCGGAACCTCGTTGGAATAAACCACCAACAACGGGCTGGCATCCTCCTGTGCGTGCTCCTGGCAACGATGTTGTTCCCCGAATACGGGTTGAGGCTCCACATTTCAACGGCGACGACCCGGCGGGATGGATTTTCCGGATTCACAATTACTTTGACTATTTTCAAACCCCAGAAGGTGAACGTTTGCAGTTGGTTGCGATGTTGATTGATTATCCGGCATCCGATTGGTTTCGTTATTACCAAACCAATACTTGTGGCACGAGTTGGGAGGCATTCCTCATAGCCGTGCGTCAACGCTTCGACCCAGATTATTATGAAAACTATATTGGCTCCTTATCCAAACTGCAGCAGTCTACAACGGTGCTTGATTATTAAACTGCTTTCGAGTCCATACTTAATAAAATATCCGGCGTGCCTGAACACACCCTCATAGCCATGTACGTGTCTGGTCTACGCCAACCCGTCCAGCGTGAGGTGAATCTGCGGAACCCTCGCACCCTCCAGGAAGCTTTTGGGTTAGCACGGGAATTATCAGCCTGCCATAACGAGTCCAGCTCGTTTCGACGTCCTTGGTCTGGCCGGCAGCCCGTTCATTCCACTCCCAGCACAGCGTCTGCCACCCCCACCGCCACCACTGTTCCAGGGGTCTCGTCTACTGGCAAACCTTCAACCCCTTCCTTTGCCCAACAGTTGCCGATTGTGAAGGTTACTACGGCCCAAAAAAATGAACGTAGCAAAAAAGGGCTGTGTTGGTATTGCGATGACAAGTGGGTTCCCGGTCACCATTGCAAGGGTCGTTTTTTGGCCTATATGGGACCCGATGATGATGACGATTCCGGTTCTCCTCTTGAGGACGATTCCCAGGCCGTCGATGATGGTGTGATCGTGGGTGACGTCTCTACCCTCAATTCCTTAGCCGGTAGCCCGAGCTCTCGTGCTCTCAAGTTGGTGGGAACTAGGGGTGAGCATGGTACGGTATGGTACGGTAAAATCGGGCATGGCTATGGCATGGTTTATAAAGCCAAGCCATACCCTAAAATGTGGCATGGCTAGGGCTAGGGCTGTATAGCCAAGCCATACCAAGCCCTACCAAGCCATAGCCAAAGCCATGTTTAGCCCTACTTATATGTATGGATGAAATGTGGAATTTCATTAACAATGTCCCCTTATTTTTGAAAATTAAAAGTAAATTTAAATAAAAAAACGTGAAAAATTAAAAAAAATGAATATTTAAATGCAAGGGATGCATATCAAAACATAGTTTATATTTCACAAACTAAAAAATGAACGACAACAAAGGGTTTTTCGAATCTTTGTGAATACTTTTATATTTATACACAAAAACTAAAACTCAAATAAAAGTATAACTTACACATGATAAAACTTGAACCAATATTTTTTAAAAAATTACTCCGTATTATTTAGTGAAGGAATATGAAAAATATTACTCCGGGTTATTATTTTTTATAATATTTTAGTATATATGTTTGGTTCGGGATTTTCGGTATCGTACGTCACCTCGTACCGTTCCCAAATACCGTACCGACCATTCGGTTCGGTACGGTTCGGTTTCTTCTCGGTACTTTTTCGGTTTGGTATTTTTCGGTTCGGTATTCTCGGTATTTTCGGGAAATTTCGGTATCGGTTCGGTACTTGCTCACCCCTAGTGGGAACGGTGCACGAGCAAGCGGTACACGTCTTGTTAGATGGGGGAAGTACCCATAACTTTGTCCACCCCACCGTAGCCGAGCGGTTGTCTTTGGTGCTCCACCCGGTCCCTCCGTTCCGGGTATATGTCGGGAACGGGGATTCTCTGCGTTGTGCGTATTCATGCCCACGTACGCCACTACTCTTACAGGGTGTTCTTTTTGAAGTGGATCTCTATTTGTTAGAAATTCATGGGCCAGATTTGGTTTTGGGAGTGCAATGGCTTCAAACCTTGGGCAAGGTTTCTCACGACTACGCAAATATGACGATGGCAGCCCCACGGCCCATCTCCTTCAGCCATCTGTGTTCGTTAGCGGCCCATACATCTCTGGAATTCTTTGAATTGTTACCTACAGATCATCCCCCACCACCTGCTGCGGACGACGGGATCAGTTTTCCAGATAATATCCCACTGCCAGTACGCTCCGTCTTGGACTCCTGCTCTTCTGTGTTTCAGCTGCCACAGGATTTTCCCCCGGTTTGTGCATGGGATCATAGGATTCACCTGGAACCCACGGCCAAGCCCGTCAATGTTCGGCCCTACCGATACCCGTACTTCCAAAAGACGGAGATTGAAAGGCAGGTGCGGGAGATGCTTCAACACGGCCTCATTCGCCCGAGTCAGAGCCCGTTCTCTTCTCCGGTCTTATTGGTCCGCAAAAAGGATGGGTCTTATCGTTTTTGCGTCGATTATCGGGCCTTGAATGCGGTTACAACGCCGGATCATTTCCCTATACCCACCTCGGACGAACTCTTCGATGAATTGGGGCATGCGAGGGTATTCACTAAATTGGATTTGCGTTCCGGTTACCACCAAATCCGCATGAACGAGGCCGATATTTTTAAGACAGCCTTCCGTACGCATGACGGGCACTATGAGTTCCTCGTTATGCCATTTGGCCTCACCAATGCTCCCTCGACATTTCAAGCGGCTATGAATGCCCTATTTCGTGCGTATCTACGGCAGTTCGTCATTGTGTTTTTCGATGATATTTTAGTCTACAGCCCGACGGTAGAAAGCCATGCCACCCATCTTCAATTGGTCCTCCAAACCCTTCATACGCATGCTTTCTTCGTCAAGTTATCCAAGTGTTCCTTTTGCACAGCAACAATTGAGTACCTTGGACATATTGTTACAGCAGGTCAATTACAGCCGGACCCGTCCAAAATAGAAGCAATGATCTCGTGGCCTCGACCGACCTCGGTCACCGAGTTACGCGGCTTCTTAGGCCTTACCGGCTACTATCGGCGTTTTGTGGCGAGTTATGCCATGTTGGCCGCCCCCCTCACTGACCTATTAAAGAAGACGGGGTTTGGGTGGAATGAGGCTGCCGAGAATAGCTTCCAGCAATTGAAGCACGCCATGGTTACCGCTCCAATTCTCCGGCTGCCGAACTTTGGCCTGACTTTTTATCTCGAGACGGACGCATCAGATGTTGGCATTGGGGCCGTGTTATTACAGCAGGGACACCCTTTGGCATTTTTCAGCAAAAAGCTTGGTCCGAGGCGGCGTGCGGCCTCCACATATCACAAGGAACTCTACGCCATTGCTGAATCCGTGCACAAGTGGCGCCAATACCTCCTTGGCCGTGAGTTCGTAATTCGTAGTGAACAAAAGAGCCTGAAAGATCTCCTCTGTCAGGTCATTCAAACCCCGGATCAGCAATTCTACATCCGGAAGTTGATGGGGTTCAAATTCCGCATTGAATATAAACCCGGTGCTTCTAACAAAGTTGCAGATGCTCTCTCACGCCGTGACATTATTGACACCCCGGACTCGGACGATACGGCTGCTGTTTTCTTGGCTTTTGCACAGCCGATCCCCACATTGTTGCAAGACATTCGCCGAGATAATGCCTTACTCCAAGACTGTCAGTCCCTCCACTCGGCCGTACAGCAGGGAACAGCCCCACCCCATATTTCTCTTCATGATGGCATGTTGTATTACAAACATCGGATCTATATCAGCCCCTCCTCTTCTCTGCGCACGGCCATTCTCCATGAATTTCATAGCACGCCGATCGCAGGTCACCAAGGAGTCGACCGCACCTTCAAACGGGTCGCCAATGTGTTTTACTGGCGGGGTATGCAACGCAACGTACGACAATTTGTGGCGGCATGCGTCCCATGTCAGGCAACCAAATACTCGACGCAACGACCCGCTGGCTTATTACAACCACTACCCATCCCCACTCATGTATGGGACTCCGTCTCCATGGATTTCATCACGGGCTTGCCGCCATCTCGTGGGTTCACGATGATTATGGTGGTCATGGATCGGCTCTCTAAATACACCCACTTTGGATTGTTACAGACCGGCTTTGACGCTCCTCGCGTTGCAAACCTCTTCCTTGACACCGTCGTGAAACACCATGGATTTCCCTCGACGGTTATTTTGGATCGAGACTCGGTCTTTATGAGTTCTTTTTGGCGTGAATTGATGAAGTTGAGTGGCACAACCTTGAAATTTAGCACGACCTACCATCCCCAAACGGACGGCCAAACTGAGGTCATGAATCGCGGTCTAGAGCAATATCTTCGGGCTTTCACTTTCGAGCGGCCGCATAAATGGGATACTTTTCTTCCGTGGGCAGAATTAGCACTAAATTGCAGTCACCATGACGGGCTTAACATGTCACCATACCAGGCTTTATATGGGAGAACTCCTCCGCATCTTTTTCCAACCCTCACTGTCCGTGCCAAAGTGGCTTCCGTCGAGGACATGTTGCGCGAACGGGCGGCGGTTCTAGAGGACCTACGGCGCAACCTTGCCAAGATGCAACAACGCATGCGTGAGCGGGCGAATCTTCACCGCAGGGATGTTAGTTTCACAGTCGGGGACTACGTCCTTCTCAAATTACAGCAACACTGGCAGCACTCTTTAGCCAGACCACGCTCTTCTAAGCTCGCGCGGCGCTATTACGGACCATTCGAGGTGCTTGAACGAATTGGGTCTGTGGCATACAGACTACGGCTTCCGGCGGGGTGCAAAATTCACGACGTTTTTCACGTCTCCTTACTATGGCCCTTCGTGTCTGGAGGTCAGCCACTACCCGAGCCGGTTCTCCTAGAAGATATCATCCGCGGTCAGGTCGTGGCCACTCCCGTGTCTGCCGGCCCTCGTCGCACAGTGTTAGTTAATGGACAGCCGCAGGAGCAGTGCCTAGTCAGGTGGTCAGATGATGGGGGCGCCAACGCATCCTGGGAACCAGTGGACAGCCTTCGTCTCAATTTTCCGTCACTCGACCTTGAGGACAAGGCCGTTCTCAACCCTGGGGGAGATGATACGGGACCAATGCACGTAGAGGCCCATGCAGGTGATACCGGCCCAACGCACACGGATGACGAACAGGACGGCCCAAGGGAAGTAACGCGACCGCGCAGAAACATACGTCGGCCGCAACGTTTCGATGATTATGTTTAGAAACCATTTAATTTAAATTCTTAATTCTTGTACTTTAGATTTTATTAGGTGGGCGGAATATAAGCCCCTTCAAGGGTTTTCTTTTCGGTTCTTTCCCTTGACGCTTTTGTTCAACCGACAGGGTTAGGGTTAGCATTAGGGTTTCTCGACTATATAAACCAAGGGACTTGTTATTTGAAGGATGTGAAGAAATAATACAATTTAGCTTAGCAGTAATTCCCCTCTCTTCCCTCTTTTCTTGTTCGGCCGTAACTCTTGTGCCAACCCAAAGTTGGTAGCTTAGGGTTACAAACTCCTTCCTAAATCAACCTTTATCAGGGTTGTACTTTACCTTTCTTAGAAGTTACAATTGGAGGAAGGATTACACTCACCAAGGGCAGATACAATTTTTGTTATTGTTAGTTCCTTGTTTTTTTAAGGCCGTAAATTCGTTGGGAAGAAACATTTAAGCCTCAATAAAGGTACAGATCAGGTTGTTTGGGCTGTTCAACCTTTCAGCAATCCAGGCTGCTCTCCTAGTTGAGGATCTTTAGACTTCTAATTTATCGTGATCAAACTTCTTCTGTTTGGGATATATTTTATTAAATATTTTGTGTTAAAAAGATATTTTACTCTGTTACGAAGAGGATTTTGGAACTTTAGACTTGTTTTCGGTTCAAGACTACCAACCTGTATAGTCACAGCTGGTCCTTTGTCCTATTTTGCTTGGCTAGGATTTGAAGATACTTCCCAGGTTCGATTAGCAATCGTGAAAATGTGCCGCTGGACAACCATTTCAAATTGTAAGGACACCAAGGTCAATAATGGTGTATGTGGACTCCTACACCATTTTCCCGAAGCTGATCCAAGATGAAGCAACCAAACAGTCTGGATGTTTAGAATTGTTGGCTTTTGTATTGTCCCTTTATCATTGTTCTTTTGTTTGTTTTTGGATTTTTGTTTTCACTGTATTTTGGACATCCGGCTTTTATGTAGGGGTCTTGGCCAACCCTCCTTGCTCTTTTCTCTTAGTTCTAATAATAATAATAAATTAAATAATATATATATATAGTAAAACATTTATCTTATAAACATTTTTTTATAATATTTTGTGTATATTTCTAACACTTTAGAAAAATGACTTTCAACACAATATAATATTTTTCCTCTCTCAAAAAATTATGGCCTAAAAAAAGGTGTTGAAAGGGGAGGGATTTTATTTCATTTTATAATACACTACTTAATGTAAAATGCCATGAAGCTTCTGATGGGCCGATATCCAGAGGACGGCCCAAATGAACCATTTAAACAGCTTCGGGTCAAACACCTGTGAAATACTCAAGCTGGGCCGACCCAAGGAGCTGGGCCTAGTTAACCTCAGGCCAAGCGCAGCTGGCAGAGTCAATCCGGAGAAGGAGACGGAGCTGATTGGCCGTTACGGAGCCGGGAAAAGGGGATCGCGCCCTTGGCAGGATAGACTCCATCGGTTATGCATTACCTTAATTGTTTAGAGCTCATGTATAAATAGAGGGGACCCGAAAGGGGAGAACTCAAACTAAATCAAGCTGGTAATACACATCCAATTCTCGAATTCTTGTTCTTAATTTCGTTCTTACGATCCGCTCTGTAAACCGGATCATTTGGTGGATTTATTGTCCATCAAATTGGTGCTCTCGTTGAGAGTTCGAGAATCATACTCAGAAGAAATCCTCCACAACGACGATGGTGCAAACACGTAGCAACGCCAACGTAGGTACCAGAGTTCCCCAACAGGGGGAGAACAGCGCCACCGGAGGCCGGCACCCCCCCATCACCACCGGGGAGGCTGAGGCCCTCATTCAGAGGGTTGGGATCACGGCCGAACAATTCAAGGAGGTGCTGGCCGCACTTGCGCCCAACCGCGAGGTTGTGGTAGGAGATGTGGCTGGGGGACCCACAGGCGAGAAGGCTGGACCTGCAGGCTCCCAAGGAAAAAAGAAAAAAGTGAGGCGGTCCCAAAAGAAGAAGGCGACCAAGCCTAATGGGAAGGCTATGATGGCAGATGCGCTTTCCAGGCTGGAAGAAGAGGACGAGTCGTCCTCCTTCGAGCGGATGTCTGCTTTTGACCGTTTGGGAGACCCCAAGTCGAAGAAACCTCGGACCTCTGCGTTCAAAAGGCTGCAGGACACTCGGTCGGCCCGAAAAGGCGACTTGAGAGACACGCTCAAGGAGAAGAGAGGGGAGTCCACAGCGACCTCCAAGGTCGGTTCTGAGGAGCGACGGACGACAGTCGGGGATAAGGGCGCAGCCGAGCTGTGGAAAATGTACGAACAACTGGAGAGGCGGCTGGATGCCCAGAACCCCTATCGCCAGGCGGTCTTCAGTGAGGTAACGCCCTTCTCCAGAAGGATAATGTCCTGCCCTCTCCCAGATAATTTCAAGACTCCCCAGATCAAGGCATACAACGGGACGACCGATCCCCAAGACCACCTCGCTCGCTTCGGGGCCAACGTGGTCAACATGCGTATAGGTCTTCTTTAGTTCACAGCCACGAAGGACCGCTGTGACCTTCCCGTCCGAACACTCACCAAAGTGTAGTTACCCAAGGGGTCGATAGATAAGTGGGGCGACCTGGCCCACAAGTTCTTGGAGCACTTCGCATCCAGCCGGAGACAAAAGCTCCCCTTCTCGCATTTGCTCAATGTGAAGATCCGGAAAGGGGAAAAGCTCCGGGAGTTCATTAATAGGTGGGAGAATGAGGCTAGGGATGTCCAAGGGGCGGACGACCAAGCCCTGATCGCCATGCTCCAAGCTGCACTCCCCCAAGGGGATGTGCGTAAGGAGCTGCGACGGAATCCTCTCTCGACCTATCAAGAGATGTTGGCCAGGGCGAAGTACTTGGCGCTGGAAGAGGAAGATGATGAGCCACCAGTCCGGAAGGAGAAGAAAAGCGGGCCACCGGTGGCAGAAGGAAAGAAAAGGAAGGATTATGGTAAGGGACCGAACCCCACCGGGTATCATGCGAACAGGCATCCCGTTCACGCGGTACAGTTGTTGCCGGCCCTTCCTCATGGTCGGGAAAGCTATGGTGTGCAAGATGCACCCAAATACTGCGAGTACCACCGTAACAGCACCCATAACACGTCGGAGTGCGTTACGCTGAAGAAGGAGATGGATCAGCTGATCGCTAGAGGGCCACCTCCTCGGTCAGAGCGACCGTCCACAGGTAACCGGACCTGGAGGAGGTCGCCAGCCCCCACGGCAGCGATCACAGCAGGAGAGGGGCAAGAAGATGGACGGCGGCACCTAGGGCGAGATTGTGATGACCTAGATGAGGAGGATAGGCAAGGTCGCCGACACCTGGGGTGTCGGTTCATCATGGGAGGAAACACTGGAGGAGATTCGGTATCCTCCCGGAAGAAATGGAAGAACATGGTGTACCTGGCCGAGGTACAAAGGCCACCGCTGCCTAAGCGAAAGAAGAAGGAACCTCTGATCTTTACAGACGAGGATTATCCCCCAGTCCTCAGCCCTCACAGGGACGCTCTGGTGATAAGAGTGGAGATCAATAATGTGGTTGTTCACCGAACCTTGGTCGATACGGGTAGCTCGGTCAACATAATGTACAGCAACACCTTTAAGGAGTTGGGATTGTCCCGAAGGGACCTGAAACCAATCCATACGCCGCTGTCAGGATTTACAGGGGATACTATCGAAGCAGAAGGAACTATCACGGTAAAGGCCGGGGTAGGAGATGGCACCCACCGACTCTGGGTCGACATGGAATTTATGGTAGTACAGCTCGACTCTGCACACCATCTGATTCTGGGACGACCAGGGTTGGAGGACCTGGAGTGCGTAATCTCCCCCGTCCACTTATGCCTAAAGTTCAACACACCCACAGGGGTGGGAGTAGCAAAGGGGAACCAGAGCCTGTCACGGTCGTGCTACGTCGGGGCGACCAAAAGCCAAGCCCGAGTCGATGAGAATGTGAGCACGATCTGTGCGGCGATCCAGAAGAAGGAGGGGCGACCCCGAGCTGAGCCGGCGGAAGAGGTCGAGGAAGTTTCTTTGGACCCGGTTGAGCCAGAGCGGAAGGTGAAGGTAGGCAAAACCTTACCGCTTGAATTAAAGGAGCAGTTATTGGAGGTCCTCCGAGCATTCAAGGTGCTATTCGCTTGGGGACCAGAGGATATGCCAGGGGTCGACCCAAAAATCATCTACCATAGATTGGCAGTGGATCCGACCCACAAGCCGGTCAAACAGAAGAAGCGTTTCCTTTCCTCAGAACGGAGAGAGTTTGTCACCAAGCAGGTGACCACCCTGCAATCCATTGGGCACATCTGGGAAGTCCGCTACCCGGAATGGTTTGCAAATGTAGTCCTCGCACCCAAAGGGAATACCTGGCGGATGTGCGTCGATTACACTGATCTAAATAAAGCTTGCCTGATGGATCCTTTTCCTCTCCCCAACATTGATCAGTTGGTTGATGAGACGGCAGGATGCGAGCTGATGAGTTTCATGGACGCATTCAGTGGGTACCATCAGATCAAGATGGAAGTGGCGGATGAAGAAAAGACCGCTTTCATCACCCCCAGTGGGGTATACTGTTACAAGGTGATGCCCTTTGGTTTGAAGAATGCTGGGGCGACCTATGCACGAATGGTGAACAAGCTGTTCGCGCCGGTACTAAGGGGGTGCATGGAAGCGTATGTGGACGACATGATTGTCAAGTCCAAACGGACGGAGTCTCATGCTGGCGACCTGGAGAGAGTATTCAAGATCATGAAGAAGTACCAGCTTCGCCTTAACCCCAAGAAATGCACATTTGGGGTGCAGGGGGGTAAATTCCTAGGACATATGGTCAGCCGGAGAGGGATCGAGCCTAACCCGGGAAAGGTAAAGGCGATTTTGGAGATGGAGCCTCCGTGGAATGTAAAGGAGGTCCAGCAGCTCACCGGCAGGATTGCTGCTCTCAGTCGTTTCTTATCAAAGATAGCTGATCGAGCGGCTCCTTTTTTTCAGACCATTAAGAAGAGTAGAGGGTTCGTTTGGACCGAGGAATGTCAACGGTCTTTTGAGGGGTTAAAAGCATATCTCCTCTCCCCACTAGTGCTTTCGAAGCCAGAGCTCAGAGAGACCTTATTCCTATACTTAGGAATCTCTCCTCGAGCTGTGAGCTCGGTGCTTGTGAGGGAGGAGGAGGGCGCACAGCGACCTGTGTACTATGTGGCCCGAGTGCTGCGAGGGGCGGAGTTGAGATATACCAACATGGAGAAGACCATCTTTGTGGTGGTGTGTACGGTGAAAAAGCTCACCCCATATTTTCAAGCCCATCCGGTCCATGTGTTATCACAAATTCCCATCGGAACACTTCTTCGAAGCCCAAATGCCCCGTCATGGGTCAGCAAGTGGGGGGTGTTCCTGGGATCCTTTCAAATAGAGTTCAAGCCGCGACCGGCGATAAAGGGGCAGACATTAGCAGATTTCGTGGTAGAATGCACTGCGAGAGAGGTAGAATCTAGTGGAAAAGAACCCGAGGGGAATTGGTGGACCGTGTACACCGATGGGTCGTCCGCGACTGATGCTTCGGGGGGAGGTGTCGTGGCGATATCTCCGGAAGGGTTCAAGGCATACTACTCCGTGAGATTCCGGTTTAAAGTCTCGAACAATGAGGCTGAATATGAGGCACTGCTTTGCGGCTTGAGGTTGGCAGCCTCATTAAAAGCTGAGCGAATCCAAGTCCGGTGCGATTCCAAGCTAGTGGTAGGCCACGCCACTGGAGAATTTGAGGCCAAGGATGAACGAATGAAGAAGTTTAGAGACACTGCCATGGAGTTGCTTAAGGCATTCGGGGCGTACCGGATAGAGCAGGTTCCTCGGGAAGAGAACGCTGAGGCAGATATTTTGTCAAAGCTCAGTCCGGATTCCCCGGATCATATTAAGGCAATGACCCAGGAAGAAGAGTTGCTCGAGCCAAGCATCGGTCCCGGACAAGTGCTGATCATCACACTCAAAGAGGAGCCGGATTGGATTGATGAGATTACCATGTACATCCTTGACGGGTCGCTACCTATCAACCCAATCGCGGCAAAGGTGGTGAAGCGACGTGCACCCAACTACACGCTGGAGTGCGGTCGTCTGTATAAGCGATCGTACAATGGTACATTGTTGAGGTGCTTAAGAGCGGGCGAGGCACAAAAGTTAATGGAGGAAATCCATGCGGGAATATGTTCAGCACATCAGGGAGCCTTCACGATGTCCCGGAAGGTGACCCTACAAGGATACTTTTGGCCAACGATTATCAGAGATTGCGCAGAGTACGTGCGCAAATGCAAGGTTTGCCAGGAATTCCAGAGGATGCCAGGGCGACCGGCGACGAATTATACCCCGATAAGCACAGCGATTCCTTTTGCCAGGTGGGGCATCGATCTGGTCGGTATTTTGCCTCGGGGGACAGGGAACAACACATACCTGGTGGTCGCGATTGACTACTTCACCAAGTGGGTCGAAGCCGCCCCCGTGCCAACCATCACTGCGGAACAGATGACGAAGTTCGTTTCCAAGCAAATCTTGTGCCGATTTGGGGTGCCCCAGCAGATCATCACTGACAACGGAACCCAATTCGAGGCCGGAGGGTTCAATGAGTTTCTACAGAGCTGGGGCATAAAACACAGCTATGCAGCGGTCGGGTACCC